TTAAATATTTTTAATTGTTAATAGCTTGCCTTGTAATGAAATGAAGTTAACAATATAAACTTATTTTTTTGTTTTTGAGAAGTCACTAAATCAGTGGAGTGTATTTGTGCCACTTCAGAGGGTTTATTTTTTCGTTAATACTTCCACCAAGTTGCCTTGATACCGTTGATACCACATTTAATAGTGCTATATTGAAACTACGTTGATACTGCATCTTGCAGCATTGTCCATAAATAAGTCATCATTATGTCTTGGTAGAGACGATTTTTCAAAGCACTAGTCAGATATTCATATTGAATTGGTGTTAGGTAGAGGTAGCGATAAATGTTACTCATAATTTGAATATATTAGAAGACTATTTCCCCCCTGAAATTTGGTCATATATTTTATAGCTCTCTTGTGAAGCTTGTATGTCATACAAGGGATTGCAAGGAGCTTTGTGTATTCGAGTGTCACAAAACTGGTTAGTAATGTTTTTCTGTCTTATAGACTAGACTCTTCAAGCTATTTTTATATGCTTTATATTAAAATTATAGTCAATGTTTATTTGTTCAACTCCTATTCTGCACCCAACACTGCAGTGTAGGCACTTGAGAGAAAATGAAGAACAAAACAGATGTTGCTCCTTTCATGGAGCAATCTAGTCAGGAATACGCAATTGAATGAAATAGATTATTATAAACTATGATAAGTGTGGAATCTGGTCTAATCTGGGAATTCTAATCTGGTTTCCCTGAGGAGGTGGTATTTTAATTGAAACCTGAAGATTGCATCTGAATTAACTACAAGAAGTGGGATAGCATAGTAAGCAGCAGGTACAGATAACTTAAGGCACTAGGGAACACAGAAGATGTATGTAGGACTGAGGGGTGGGTGGAGTGGGGGGAGGTAGAGCCAGTTTAGCTAATACTAAACAACATAGACTAGAGGTAAGATTGGATAGATATATGGAGACTGGATTTCATAGGACCTGTTAGGACTTTACCCTAAGGGCCGTGTGAAATCACTGAAGTATTTTTTTTATTATTATTAACTTTATCGGGGTGACATTGGTTAGTAAAATTATATAGATTTCAAGTATACAGCTTTGTAATACGTCATCTGTATATCGCATTGTGTGTTCATCGCCCAGAGTCAGTGCTCCTTCCGTCACCATGTATTTGATCCCTTCACCCTCTTCTGCCACCCCCTCCTCCCTCACCCTCTGGTAACCACTGAACTGTTGTCTGTGTCTGTGAGTTTTTGTTTGTTTGTTTGTCTTGTTTGTTTGTTGCTTTCAGTTTTCTAGCCCACACATGAGTGAAGTCATATGGTTCTTGACTTTTTCTGACTTATTTGCTTAGCATGATAATCTCAAGATCCATCCATGTTGTCGCAAATGGCAGTATTTCATCTTTTCTTATGGCTGAGTAGTATTCCACTGTGTATATGGACCACATCTTCTTTATCCAATCATCTATCGAAGGACAGTTTGGTTGTTTCCTTGTCTTGGCCACTGTGAATAATGCTGCAGTGACATAGGGGTGCATATATCTTTACGGATAAACGTTTTCAGAGTTTTTAGATAGATACCCAGAAGAGGGATTGCTGGGTCATATGGTAATTCTATTCTTAGTGGGTTTTTTTATTAATTTTTAATTTTTTAAACAGGGGAGTGATATAATTGGGTTTGCATTTTGGAAAGAATATTCTGTCTCTTTTGTGCAGAATGGATTGAAGAGAGGCTACAGATGATACGAGAAGCTGCTGCAGTAATCCACACACAAGATGGTGCCAGCTTGCATAGGGTAGTGGCAGTGGGGATGGAGAAGAGTTAACCAATGGGAGGAGCAGTTGAAGAAATAGACAAATTCTGAATGCGTACACCTTTGGTACATTTAAAAAGTACTTTAAAAAACCCTTTACTTTATATTTGTTTACTTTTTATTATATTAGTTGTGTAGTCCCCCTTGAGAGTCATTGCCTAGTGTTTATTCTATTTACCTTTGATGGCTAATGTCCCTATCGTGCTTTACTGTCCCTATTGACTAGCTGCTGGAATCGCTTACATGTTTAATAATGAAATATTGATACATATAAAATAATATATAAAACATCTTTAACTGTAAGTGAAAAATCAAACACTTGTGTATCATCTCATAAAGTTATATAGTTTTAGCTGTTAAAAGTAATTCTGAAGTAATCCCAAATAATGAATTCCTCTTAGAGATTTCCCAACTAGCATTCCTCAGTTGAAAGGAGAAGGATAATGATTGTATTAAGAATGGCAATAATAAAACACTTAATGACCCTGAAAATGAAGAGAATTATGCCTAATATAAAAACAAAGAATGCTTTATGTAATGAGCTATGTAAATATATATGATATTAATGGTCTTTTGTTATTAGAGCTTCACATTATAATTCTTATTAAAATCAGATAAAAAAAGAATGGAAAGGGTGAAAAGTGAGGGGCTTGTAGAAAGAGTTAATTTCTGAAAAGGAGAACATTATCGTGTTAGAACTACTGCAGCTATTTGGTGCAAGTTGGTGGAAGGAGAGAAGGAAGCTTGGTGGGTCAAAGCACTGCTCCTTGAACTCTCCCTCTCATATCCTCATATACCTTTCAAAGCGTGGACAATTATGGGTTATTTAGAGTAGTCTTAGAGTCAAATCCCTGCCAGTGATTTTTGGGAAATAAACATGTTAAACTAAAGTGATCCAATATTTCATCTTCCCTAAAGGAGATTATTTTTGCCATTTCCCTCATTTTCAAAATATTACAATTCAAAAGTGTTTTAAAAATGTGTAAAGTCTATACTTTTAAAATGATTTGTTTAGATTTTGGTGACTTGAGGTAGCTTTAATAGTTGATAGTGTTTTATTTTTCAGTGGTTTTGTAGTAAAGCTTAGTATTGTTCTTCATATGGAATGGGAGAGCTGTCTCCGTTTATGAATATTTATCAAATGTAATTTTTATTTTGAGTAATTATTATTATTGTAAAAGAGAATGTTAGTTACATCCAATTTTCTTTGATTTTTAATATTCTTAGGTATCCCTAAGAGTCAAAATGCTTCCCTGCAAAATAGGGCTTTCTATCCATTTTTTGAAATTCCATATAATTGCCATACAATATCATATTAGTTTCAGGCATACATCATAGTGATACTACATTATCATACATTATGAGTGATCCCCACAGTAAGTCTAGTTATCCTCTGTCATCATACAAAGTTATAATATTTTTTACTATATTCCCTATGCTGTACATTATATCCCCATGACAATTATTTTACAACTGTAATTTTGTACCTCTTCATCACCTTAACCTAATTCACCTGCCACTCAGCCCTTCCCCTCTTTGGTAACCAGCAGTTGGTTTTAGGTATCTATGAGTCTGTTTTTGTTCTGTTTTTTAGATTCCATGTATAAGTGAAATCATACTGTATTTGATTTTCTCACCTGGCTTATTTAACTTAGCATAATACCCTGTGGGTCCATCGATATTGTCACAAATGGCAAAATTTCATTTTTTATGGCTGAGTAATATTCCATTGTATATGTGTACCACATATTATTTATCCATTCATCTATTGATGGGCACTTAGGTTGCTTCCATATCTTGAGTAGTGTAAATAATGCTGCAGTGAACATAGGGGTGCATATATCTCTTTGAATTAGTGTTTCATTTTCTTTGGATGCCCCCCTATGTCCATTGCAGCATTATTTACATTAGCCTTTTTGTATTAAATGTAAATATTTACTTTTAAACCTCAGTATGGTTCTCATTCTAAGATTATTCTAACTTGTTTTATAAATTTTTCTTGTAATGAGAAATGCGCGTCCATTCTATAATTTCACTTAAACCCCTGAAGATTTTAGCAATAGTATGGTCTTCTTGAAAGGCCATTCAACATGAAGGAAAGAATAGGGCTTTCTGTTCTTTACAAATCATTGTTTGAAATCCAGAAGAATTCTTCTTAGACATTTCTTGACTGTAGCCATCAGTGGAAAGGAGAGGAGAAAAGAACGGGGTTCATCAATATGGTGTTAAGAATAACACTTTCGACCTGTTTCAATCCTAGATTTACAGCGCTGTAATAATAGTAGGCAAGTTATACTTCCCTTCTCTAGGACCTGCTTTCTTCCTTTGAAAAATGATAATGATGGTACTATACTTCATGGAGATTTAAGGTTTTTATAGAGAAAAAAATATAAAGCACACAGCATAATGCTTGGCACATAAGATGTACTCAATAAATGTTAGCTATCTTCCATTTTCATCTTAATTTTCCTGATTTAATTCTGAAATAATCAGTAAATTAGTTGTAAGGCACTTTTAAGAAAAGTGCTGACCCCAGAAGGATTTTGCTTTTTAAAAGTGAATGTCGATAGTAAGTCAAAATAAATGGAGATGTTTTTAACCTCCATCAAATAAATGAGCTTTACTTCCTTCTAATTCAAGAATTGTATGACAAATTCTTTGACTCTGAATCTTTTTTATATTCGGTTCAAATGTGGACTAAACAGTCCTTCTGTTTTTTTCTAATGCCTGTTCTTCTGAGGTCATACTTGACCTTATATGTTTTCCCAAATAGGTTTTAGTATACAGGTGTTATTTCCAATGCTTTGTTTGTACAGTTGAATATATCAAATTCAGCAGTTTAGTGTGGGAATGGCAGGGATTGGAGAGATTAAGTGATTTTTAACTTCTAGTAATCAAAATATAGCTATATTTTAAAGAATAAAAATAGTAGCTATATCACTGGACTTCATGAAGACTTAGCTGATGTTTAATAATTAATAAGTTTTTTCTGCCAATGAGCATTAGATTACTGCTGACTTTTAGTGTCAAAGTACCGTGTGGTAGCTTCTCTGCAGGTTTAAAGGTGTATCCCAGTTTTGTTTTTTTCTGTCCTGTCCATAGGACATAATCTTTACAAATGCTCTCAGGAGAGTACCTCTAGAAGTTCATCCATGCCATTCACATGTTACAGGGATCGGTCAGTCTCATTGTCTCCTTTTGTCAATCTTGATCGGAGCTTGCCGAGTAAGTCTATAAGCCTGCATGTGCCTGGCAACTGTTACCTAGTGACAGTTTCAGCTGCAGTAGCCATTGGCTGTGCTGTTGATTGGGGCAGGAGGACCGAGTCACCTTTCTGATGGTGAGTTCTGCATCGGCTCAGGATGAGGAGGAGGAGCAGGGCTCCGGCTCAGGTGGAGGCAGTGATGCTCAGAGACTGTGAAGAATATCCCAACAGCATCCTGGGGGCTGCATCACAGTGAGTCGGACTTCCGAAGCAAGCAGCCCAGCCTAGCAGCTGATGAGAGTGAGTGTAGGTGAGAAGCATCGCCTTATCCCTATCATGAGAGAACTATTTTGTGACAAGTGAAACTGGGGTGTGCAAGGAGGGCTCTCCTGTGGCTGTTATAAAAGAAGGACCGCCCTGAATGACTTGCTGATGCACGAGAAAAGAACTTTCGGGAGAATGCTTTCTATGAAGCTGCTGCTTTGTTCCTGAGGAAGTGTTTTTATTTTTAATGCATGGTATTTCTTCAAAAGGTATGACAACAAAGGCTGACAAGAGACTCTCTGAAATGCCTGAACTTTAAAAAAGACTTTTGACAATGCTAACCTTATATCAGAACGACCTTGGAAGCCTTTTGGATGGATCCTATCCTGCCAGCCTTTCAGTATGTCACACTCTAGGATTTAAACTCATCTTGATGCTTTAGAGGTATTTTAAAACAAGACCATCGTACAACCTGCCTGATGGCCCCTGTGTTAATTGAGTACTTGCTCAAAATAGAATGCAGAGATAGAAGAGACATTTTTTTAAACATATGGCTGCTACGTAACTGCAAATATAACAAACAAGGTAATTTTCCACTTTCAGAAGATTTAGTTGAAGTAATGATTTACTGTGGTAATCATCTAATGAAAATAGAAAAGGCAGAGAAACACAGACTATGAAGCCTAATAGAAGTACCTAAGTAATAAATAATGGCAACGTTTCTAGTCAAATCAGCTCAGAGTGTATAGGAAAGTTTCTCTAATTGTCTAAATTTCATGTATATTTACCTATTATGTGATGAGATATAGGTGTGGTTACAAAGGTGAGAAATAACTCTGTGCTATATATTCTGTGATCGTGATTCATTATAAGGAAGGTGGCATATTAGATAATGAAAGTTATTTTCAGTTACTGATGCTGAAATTAATAGCAAAAATCAATTGTTTTCCTTTTGAAAAGAAAGAAGTATAAATTACACTGCTGGTGATAGCACCAGTAACTGTAATAGACTAAAACTGTTTTCTTCTGAATGTTTTAAAATTGCATGCAGAATTAAAACTTCATAAGTTTATCATATTTTGTCAGGCGTTAACCCATTTTGTATTATATCTTCCCTACTGGAGATATATGTGTGTTTGTTTCCCATGAAAACTACAGGGCAACCTAGAGTCTGTTATCTCTGTTCTGCTCCTTTGTGCCCACATAGAGATGACTCGTTTGTTGGGAAAGGGGTTGGTGGTTCTTAGCTTTTTAAAGAAATGAGAGCGAAACGGATCATAAAGTTGACCCACCAGCATCAAACCTCCAACTGAGCCCAAAGACACTGTTTGTCACAGTGAACTTTTTCTTAGCCTTCCAACCAAACCTGAGATCTTAATTACTTAAATTCTAAATATGAATCCATTCCTCATGATAGATGAAACAGGAAGCCTGAGACAGTTTCAGACCTTCTCTTTTCTCATTCTTTCTAGTTGATCCCTAAGAAACAGCCCTTCTGAGGAGGACAGACAGCCCACAGACGCTTTTCTTCCCTTGACAATTGATTTATTTTTCTTTTTGCAGATTTAATTTTTTATAGTGCAAGGTAATACATCCATTTTCTCTAGAAGTGCCTTGTGTCTACAAAAAGTTGTTTGAGACCACCAGAGGCAGCTCATGAGTGACCTTTTTCACCGCCTTTGTAGCGTCTCCCCCCCTCCCTGCCAAAGCTGAGGTGTGTCACTGCTGCACTGAGGCTGATGAAGAGACTGGGATGCTCCCTGGGATGCTTGGCTGTGACAGCAGCACTACCACCGTCTCCCGAAGCTGATTCTCAGACACTCATGCAGAGTTGAACAGATGCTGGGCAGGGCACTGGCTTGCTGTAGCCCAGGCTGCAGGGTCCCTTAATTCCAAGCCATGAATGAAACCAGGTGGACTGAATGGAGGACCGTGAACCTGAGCAGTGGCCTTGTGAATGTGACGGAGCGCCACTCCTGCCCACTGGGATTTGGCCATTACAGCGCGGTGGACGTCTGCATCTTTGAGACAGTCGTTATTGTCCTGCTGACATTTCTAATCATTGCTGGGAATTTAACGGTCATCTTTGTCTTTCACTGTGCTCCACTCTTGCACCATTACACCACCAGCTATTTCATTCAGACAATGGCATATGCTGACCTTTTCGTTGGAGTTAGCTGCCTGGTTCCTACCCTCTCCCTTCTCCACTACTCCACGGGTATCCACGAGTCATTGACTTGCCAGGTCTTTGGATATATCATCTCGGTTCTCAAAAGTGTTTCCATGGCATGTCTTGCCTGCATTAGTGTGGATCGCTATCTTGCCATCACCAAGCCTCTTTCCTACAATCAACTGGTCACCCCCTGTCGCCTGAGAATTTGCATTATTTTAATCTGGATCTACTCCTGCCTGATTTTTTTGCCTTCCTTTTTTGGTTGGGGGAAACCTGGTTACCATGGTGACATTTTTGAATGGTGTGCCACCTCTTGGCTCACCAGTGCCTATTTCACGGGCTTCATTGTTTGTTTACTGTATGCCCCTGCTGCCTTTGTTGTCTGCTTCACTTACTTCCACATCTTCAAAATTTGCCGGCAGCACACCAAAGAGATACATGACCGGAGGTCCCGATTTCCCAGCCACGAGGTGGGCGCCTCTGGAGAGACTGGACACAGCCCCGACCGCCGCTACGCCATGGTTTTGTTCCGGATAACCAGTGTATTCTACATGCTGTGGCTCCCCTATATCATTTACTTTCTCCTGGAAAGCTCCCGGGTCTTGGCCAATCCAACACTGTCCTTCTTAACAACCTGGCTGGCTATAAGTAACAGTTTCTGTAACTGTGTAATTTACAGCCTTTCCAACAGTGTCTTCCGGCTAGGCCTCCGAAGACTGTCCGAGACAATGTGCATGTCTTGTCTGTGTATGAAGGATCAGGAAACACGAGACCCCAAACCCAGGAAACGGGCTAATTCCTGCTCCATTTGAAGAGACCTACACAGGAAATCAAATATAATCTGACAGTGGTTTGGGATCCTATTCTTCACTCATCTGGAAATTTGCCACGAGAGAAATATTTACTTGAATAGTTGACTGTGAGATGAAGAGACTAAAGGTTTCTTTTTACATGGAGAAAAAAACGAAAGAAAAGGATGTATAGAGGGTAATCTCACGAGATAATTGTAGTGTGAGTAGAAATGTGCAGTAATGGGAAGCTGAGGATGAACACAGTGTTTCAGATCTTCCACAGGACATGAGCAAAGCCCCTCCGTGTCTGTCTCTCACTGAACTCTCTCCTCTGTCTTTTTGTCTCTCATTCTGCCTCTTGTCTCTCTTGCTCTCTTTGTGTTTGTGGAAACGACTTATATAAATTGCTCTTTATAGAAAAATGCTACATATTATATATGTGGCAAAGTGTAATCTTTTGCATCCAAGTGTACTTTTAAACACACTGATCTGAAATCCATATGTGGTCTCTCCATGGAGGATGCATAATAAGCCTTGTATTTTAGTACCTGCCACATAACCCTTTCGCTTGTGTTTTTATAATCTCCGCAGCACAAATTTTCTGCTATGAATAAAAAGAAACAGTATTTTTATTTCATCACAGTAAAATTATGCTCCCCGCCCCCCATTTCCTAACAGCCTGCTGTATTATTTTCCTCTCAATTTTTTTTGATCTGCATCCTTTAGTACCTTAATCCAGAAGTGTCTTAGCTAATGAAAGAATCTACTATATAAAGCAATCATGTTAAATAATTTATTCCTTCCAACAAAGCAATCTCTAGCCTGTTTGAGATACTGTGTTAAATATTTTTAATGGTTTTGGAAATATTTTTTTTGGTTCCTTTTAAATTATTTCATGTGCCCAAATAATGTCCTGTTCTTTATAGTAAGCTTTGTTTTCCTTTAAGAAAATCCACAAGAACTCTAATGCAGATGCAAAGCACTCACCCAGAAGTGAGGTACCACTCTTAAAGCTACTTGGTGTGTTCTTCTTTTTTTTTTAAGAGTAAAAAGTTGACCTTTTTGTGTTAGGTCTACAAAACTTACTGTTCTGTCTGTCAACTAATCATTTGTGTGATACGTTTGCACATACTACATTTTTTACAACAAAGAAAATGTAAATTATATTATGTGATCTGTGCCTAATGTTTTCTTAGCACAATATATAGATCAGTGTTCCTTAAGTCATCGCCATTGGAAAAAAATATACAAAAACTTCTGTTAAGAGAAAAATACTTTTGTTTAGTTGTTATTTAGATATTCATATTAGACCAAGCTGCATTCTTAGTGCTGCTGAGAACACAATATACTTAATGATCTAATGCAGGTAAGAGCTGTCAGTATTTTCTTTGGTAACAATCTGTTTTCATACTCAGAAAGTAAATTAGCTTATTTTTTAGTATGCTACATGGAATTGTATAATACATTGTCAGGGGTTTAGATATATAGCTAAATGGCACTTGGGAATTCGTCATGAAGCAGGTGTGAGTGGTAAAACATCTAAATCTTACTTTTTTACCCTAAGTTTCCTGCCTGACAGAACTTTTAAAATTTATATCAAACTACTGAGTATTTTTCTTCTCAGACTTTTTTGATTTCTTTGTTTTACGAAATGCATTAATGAAATGTGCCTGTGGAAGCCCACCATTGTCGCACACTGGCGGTTTGACTTCAGAGTTCCTTTATAGAAATGTCATCATTTCACCGAGGTTGTTCTGAACCCCTGTATATTTTTAAACATGTAAGAAAGGTTTAAAATAAAGAATAAAATAGTATTCTATATATCAAAATCAGACTTTGCTTCAGCTTAATAAAACGTTTACTTGTAACAAAAGTTTACTTGTTTTGGGATCAAAATTTAATAGTTTTGCACTTCTGTGGCTTGGGTTGTTTATACTAATTCCTGTCCCCTGTTTGTCAGTGGCATCTTGGATAAGTTGAAATGTGCCTTTTAAGTTCAGACCAGTTCAAGGAAAACAAAGTTCAAGGAAATGTAATACTATAACTTTTCAGTTGTCATAAATAGGATCTTCAACATTCTGTATATGATTTGGCAATCAGATTTTGACTCCTTTAGCTTGGAGTGTACATATAGTTAGCAGAGACCCAGGAGATCTCCTGTGCAGAAAACCGAAGGCCATGCTTACTGTACTTCCCTCCTCCAACTGTTCCTCTGAATTCTTAATACCAAGAATTATGTTCCAGGTACCATGTTGCGTTTTACACATAACATGTAACCCTCGCTGGAACCCTTTGCGATAGCTGCTGTTATTCCCATTATAGAGATGAGGAAACTAAGAGAAGTGACTTATCCAAGATGAATCCGTCAGTGGCAGAGGTTCTTTCACACTCAGGTGACCTGGCGCCAAAGCCTGTGCTCGTAACCAGTAGGCTCCACTGCTTTCCCCCCCCCCCCCC